TGGCCATGATTCAAAATAAATAGAGAAAAAAATGAAGAAACTTAGCCACATTCTAATAGTTCACTTGTTTGATATAAGTATAACCTTCATGAAACTAGAAAGGGGCTATAGATTATTCTGAAATTTAAAAAAAGATTTAAAAACCCTTAAATTAAAACCCTAAGACCATTCTAACTGACCTATCCAAGAGCACCATTTTTGGTCAATTGACCATTAACTTTTTTTGAAAGCAAAAAGAAAGATGTTGAAATTTTTAAAAACAAAGAGGAAGAAGCAATAGCTAGATTATAAAAGCCTTAATTGTCATATTAACTTTTGTAAATTTTATTCTGAAATTCATGACATCAGCTAAAGATTTTTAAGTAAGGAAAATCATTGTGACAAAAACACACCCAAGACAAATTGAGGAGGATGAAGACAACAGCACAGGCTAAAGTCTGGAGACATGAGCTATCATAGAACTTTGAATAATAGATAGATAGATAGATAGATAGATAGATAGATAGATAGATAGATACATACATACATAGATAGATAGATAGATAGATAGATAGATAGATAGATAGATAGATAGATAGATACATACATACATACATACATACATACATAGATACATAGATAGATAGATACATAGATAGATAGATAGATAGATAGATAGATAGATAGATACATAGATACATAGATACATAGATACATAGATACATAGATACATAGATACATAGATACATAGATAGATAAACAGATATGGGATGGATGGATGGATGGATGGATGGATGGATGGATGGATGGATATCTAGGTAGGTAGATAGATGATAGATAGATAGATAGATAGATAGATAGATAGATAGATAATAGATGGATAGATAGATAATAGATGGATAGATAAACAGATATGTGATGGGTGGATGGATGGATACATTGGTTGGTAGATAGATAGATAGATAGATAGATAGATAGATAGATAGATAGATATTAGATAGATGGAAATCTAAGGTCAAACAGGGTCTCTCTGGTGGAAAAATATGTAACATTATTGGTATTATAACAACAGGTAGAATATAGATTTTACAAGCAAACAATTGAAGAAAGACAAGCTTTTATTTATTTATTTATTTATTTATTTAGGAAAACACTTTAGTGCCTCTGAAATGCTTTCCTGTCTTGCTTGCTTTCCTATTTCAGGTGATGCTTTTGGAAATGTTTTATTATAAATGAAATGATGAGCTTTTTGAGAACAAAGAAGTGTATCTTCTGCATTGTCCTCCCTTTATTTTATGTAGATTTTGGTGTAGAGTAATTAAGTAATAAATACAACCTGGAGAGACAAGATTTCTAAAATAAATTCACAACTGGCTACCATTATTTGTGAACGAGCTATATATGACCATTAGAAAAAAATCCTTTTTGAACCTAGCTACGAAAAGTGGAAAGTCTACCTGGTAATTAAAGACACACATAAGTCACCACAAAGGGGACACACTCTCAAACAGAAGTGAGGCCAGCCAGTCACCTCACTTCACCCACAAAGTAAAACTGGGATGAACAAAGATCAATATAACCCCTCCTCCTTCAGCACTTGAGAATTGGGCATACATTTTTTTAAATGTTTTCAAACCTGGTGAATTATATCAGAGTATTTTCAGAGTAATAGTGACTCTGAAAAAATCTACCAGCTCTACCAAGAAATTTCTGCTTTTGGTGTCCTCTTATTGCACTGAATCTTGAATAAAAGCTCATCCTCTAAACCATAAATGTTGATCTGCAAGTACGTACATAACGCTTTCACAAATGCATCCCTCCCTGCCAGTCACTATTTGCAAATATCGTCAATACCATCAACTGAACCATCTCTCCTTTCTTTCCTGATCAGTGTTCCACAACAAATTTCCCTGACAATTTAAATGGCATTTTTTTTATAAATTTCTTATTAAAGAAAAGAACTCATACGTATGACAGAGAAACTTACTGACCAAAATCTCTCAAATATCTACTTATATCATAAATTAAAATTCTAGATAAAGAGAACATGCCAGCCAACAAAAGACAAAATTACAGTGTCATAAAAGTCAACTGCCATTTCCTATGACTAGTATTGTAGTATGACTATGTATGTCATAAAAGTCAAAATAAAGCAGATATCTCTTTGACATTGGAAAATCATAAAGCAAATAAAGAAATTAGTATAAAAACTAAAAAAGAAGCACAGTTAAAATTGTTCATCTACATATTTCAATAATAACATGAACTAATGTAAAGGTAAAAAGTTTACAAAAAATTTAACTTTATTGAGAATGAGATTTATGACAATAAGGCCATAGCTGATGCAAATCATTTTGATAACTGATTTATGTTTCCCAGACTCACACCACTTGAGCCTCCTCAGTGGTATACTGCATGAAGGAATAGTCTGGTACCATTAACTCAGGCCAGAATGGAGCTCAAATATTAATTTACTTATGGACTAATCTGTGCTGTCGGATTTAGGTAACCCTTGGTGATCTGAAAAGGTGCTTTTCTGAACTCAGAGTCTGCAAACAAAAGTGTGTACACTGACTAGCCAATAGCAGAAAGTTCCAACACAGTTCATGAAAGAAGTGAAGATCATCACATATTTTTATCCCTTTGTTGATTGGTGCCATGTAAAATTTCTACCAGTCAAAGTCCTAGAATGTACACATTTTAAAATGTCATAAATGACCTTTCCAAGAGGGAACCCAAATTAATGTCTTAGGCAACATTGGATCACGAGAGCAATGGGATTTGCAGAGATGCCACAGTCTAGCCGGTTATAATCAGAGGTTTTTGTGGGAAGGGGTTGGGAGGATGTCATGACACCAGTAGAAAAATTGACATATGACCTTAGCCATTTCTTGACATCTGAGCCTTCATTTTCCTCATCTCATTTAGGAAAGGGAAGGTCTTTTCTAGGTGACTTTTCTAGGTGACATCTAAAACAGATTCCAGGCCAGTGACTGTCAGCTGATTTTGTTTTTCCCCTCTCCTGACCTTGTGGTAATCTCTTAATTCTTTCCTCATCTACAGATACAGGTCAAATCCTCCACATAATTACAACAAAATCCTAAGTATGGTTTTTAGCAAACCCAGTGGCTATCAAGTCAATGGATTACCCTTTGGCTAATAATAAATAGAATCAAATTTCATAGTAAGAATAAAAGTTGGGCACCTTAGTGAGCTTTTAGTTATAAAGTCTGACTTACAATGAAATACAAAACAAGCTGACGGTATCATGCTATGTTATCAGGAGGAAAGATAATAAAACATCCATCTATTCTATTGTACACAGACTGAAGAAAATGGTCACATGATGAGCTTGAAAACAAACTCAAATTATCTCTTTAACCACCCAGGGAGAAGAGAGCACAGTAGCACTCAGCTGAAAACCAAAAAATACAAAGTAATGTTTATGAGCCTGTGATTTTATTTATATAAATAAGTACCTTTTTTGATACAGGGCTTCTCTATGTAGCCTAACTGTCCTGGAACTAGCTCTGTAGTAAACCAGGCTGGCCTTGAACTCATGGATCTGGCTGCCTCTGCCTCCCAAGTATTGGGATTGAAGGCATACACCACCCTGTCCATCTATCCATAATCACTTATAAAATGAAAACTCTTTTTGCAATTATGGAATACTTTTAAAAGCAAAATTTTAGAATTAACATTAGTACTTCCATGTTTGAATTTAGGAATGTAGGGCCATGCTAAAACTAATGCATGACTTCAAAGAGCCGGGCTCAAGAGATCATCGCCCTTTTACATTTTGTCTTTTGTGTTCTACTTCTGCCTGAAAACAACACAGATAGATATGCATACTTCTGAGGTGTGTCAGAAGTATAACTCCCTGAAAGTTAGTGGGCAGAGAGTGGTATGATAGCTAAAATGCAGGGATTTCTTTTGTTCAAGGAAAACTGGCCAAGAGGATGGAGCCAAACTTAGGCAGGGAGAATTACCATCCTGCAGGGTTGAGGGTCTTTTCTGGATAGCAAATACAAGACATATGCAGTTGGCAAAGATTTACTAAATTCAGTGTTCTGTCCTCAAATATAATCAAGATCAATTCATATACTGTATTATTTTGGTTGTTTCTATTTCTTCTATTTCCTTTAAACTGGAGACACCATCATTGGTAATTTCTGTAGTCCCTTCATGAGATTCTGGGAAGTTAACTGGGAAAGACGTGGACAAAATTTAATCTCTCACTTAAATGATAAACCAAAAAGAAACATTGAGGTTAAAAATATAACATAAAAAAGTCAAGAAAAGTTTTCAACCATCAGCATTATTTGGTTATTGAGAACAGAAGAAGACAGCTCAAAGAGGTGATGGTTGCAGGATCAACCTGAAAGGAACGCTGACCCGCCTGAGAAGAAGGACACCCAGTTTGAGGATCCCGAGGCAGGATCATTGGAGACAGCAATTGCAACAACGCAGTTGTCTTCTCCCTTGGGAGGAGACAAGCTCAAGAGCATTCTTCCCACAAAACAATCCTCCCCGCACCCCTACTTCCACCCAACCACATAGACAAGAATTCTATTTCCCCTCTTTCAGTCCTCGTATTAGATTCTTATTGGAGCCCTGGTGAAACAGATCTGAGAGACTGGCCTCATTGAAAATGTCACATCAGGATGGGCAACAGGCTCTGAAACACACCCTCGCTAAAGGAAAAAGTTGGAAAGAGAAAAGTTAAGGCAAAAACTAAGGTGAATATAGATAGTAGCGGCATCAGGACACAGCCCTGGACTCTTACATGGGTCTCACCTGCTAAAGTAAATCTGTTTGAGTGAAGTGACTGTCGGGGAGAGTGGAAAGATGGGGTAAGGGTCTCTGGGCTTTCCCTACCCCACATGAAGCCCTTCGAAAACCATCTCTACTGAGCTCTTTCCTCCTCTTCATCTCAGGGGCTGTTGGAGAAAAGAACCAAAGTTTGAAGGAGAGTTGAAAGAGTTGGTGCCACAGGGAACTGTGGGAGATTCGGGTCTTACCCTGGCGGCTCTGGATGAGTAGGGATCCTCAAAGAGGGCCCACATGCGGGGCTGCAGCCTCCTCCAGCGGCCAGACTTGCCATCGGGTCCTCCCAGCCCTGCAGCATCCTCAATGCCCAGCCTCTTGGCCGCCAGGTCCTCATCGTCACCGGGGTCGCCCCCGATGAGATCGGGTGTCTCGAAGATGTCCAGCGCCTCCTCCGCGTCACGGTGCTGCCTGTAAGTCATCCAGCAGCAGGGCTCCACGTCGGTCTCGTCGATGCCCCAGAAGGCCAGCTCCTCCTCGAAGAGCGGCCCGCACACGTCGGCGGGGCAGTGCAGTTTGCCTGTGCGGTAATAGTTGAGCACATAGGCGAAGACGCCCGGGTGGCGATCGAAGAAGAATTCGCGGCCTCCCCCAGGGTGGTCTCCGCCGTTGCCACCGTGGGAACTACAGTTGCCCGCGCCGCCCTCGAAGCAGCTGCTGGGGACCGGGGACAAGGGAGGCGGTCGTGGCGGCGGAGAGAGCGGAGGGGGCAGCGGCTGCAGCTTGTCCCCCGCAGCGGTCAGGCAGTCACCCTGAGGTTCAGAGGAGGCAAGAAGGGCCAGGCGCGTTCCGGGAAGGGTCTTGAGAGTGCTGCGGTAGGTTTCGTGCCGGGTGCCCCCGACATTGAGGATCACCCTCTCGTTGTTCTCGATCTTGCCCATCTCTGTGGCTCAGACATGACTAGGGGAGGCGAACACAGCACCAAGTTAAAGCTCTTGTGAGCCCTATACGCACCATGACCCACCTACCCCCACCTCAGCCCAAGAGTGCCAAGATGCCTAGCTCGCCAAGTGCGAAGGACCCTCCCAGGAGGAGCTTGGTGTCCAGTCCTGTCCCCGCCTCTTGCATCATGCCTGGCCCAGGTTCCCAGAGAACGAACAACAGTTGAGTCTTCCTTGACCTTCCAGGAAACCTTTTCTCTTGCGGCACACAGTCCACCCTTGGCTCTGACCTCTCCTTCCTTTTTGCCCTCCACCGTGTTTCTCCTCTATCCCTGCCAAATCCAACCTGCCTTAAGCCCCCAAGCCCCTCTTTCTTTTCCCAAACCCTCCACTGCTCACTCTCCAGACCCTTTCCTCCACCCATCTATGCTCCAGGCTGTTCCTCTCCTTAGATGAACCCCCCTTCCCCACTATCCCATATCTCCCTCAGTACCCCTGCCCCCGGTCTCAATGTAATTCCCTATCAGGGAGTTGGGCTGGCTAAGGCAACTTAGCAGTGTTTAGCGGGGGCCCTCGAATGCTCCAGCTGACTGCCTACCCTTGGCCAACCCTGGACAGCACTCTGGTCTCCAGTACTCAGGGACTACCCTTTGCCTGTTCGGCTCCCGGCTCACCCCCGTACCTCCCTCCCCCCCACCGCAACCTACCAGGCAGAAAACTGAAGAGAGAAGTCACAACAACATCGACAACAACAACAACACACGTCCCTGCTGCCTGCTCCTTCCACCAAGGAGACCTCTGACTAATTTCCTCATCCAATTTCCTTTCCCCGTTACTGTTATCCTTGTTGCTAATGTTATTATTACTTGGGAAAGGAAACGACTAACTAGGATCCATCTTTGAGGACGAAAGTGAGCAATCGATCCCACCCCTCCCCCTTCCCAAGAAAAACAAACATCTTGGGGTGGAGAGTCTGGAGAGTCAGGGGTTGCTTTCGAGGAGGGGTGAGGCCCAGGAGAAGCCGCAGAAGGCACACCCCTTGCGTTCCTGAGCTGGAAGACGGGCTGTTTCAAGTCTCTCCCTGGGGCTTCGCATCCACAATTTTACACTAGGCAGGGGGATGCCCGCCTGCACCGCCCTTCCTTTCTCCCCTTCCTCGTCCCCGGATACCTTAAGGAGACAGGGAGAAAAGTGGATCTGCTTGGGTCTCCGAGCGGTCGAGGGTTTCCCTGCAGCCAGACGGAGTCTCTGCGGCCAGCTGAGCCGCCCTTCTCAAAGGAGAAACTACTTGTTGGCGTTTTCGGGGTTCAGGTGGTTGAGCCGCTTCTCTGGGTGCTGAGGTCGGGGAGAAAGTCCCCGCCCGCCGCCCGCCGCCCGCTGCGCTCCCCGCCTTCACGCTGCTGCGATCTGCGGGCTCTCCCGTAGCCACGCTCCGCGCCCAGAGTCACCATCGCGCGGGGCTGGGCGAACCATGGAGCTCGGGGCGGGTCCAGCTGGCGCAGCCCGACCCCGCTGCAGACCTTCTGCCCGGCTGGCAGTGACTAGAGCGGAGGACGACCGGAGGACAGGGGGCGGGGGACGACGGGGAGCTCACCCAGTTGAGAGTGAAGGCGCCCAGCTAAGATTTGAATCCACAGCTTTGGTCCTCCCCCCTCCCCCGCCCGAAAGCAGCCTCTGCTAGAGCTGTTCCTTCAGCACCGCTCGCCTGAGCACACAGCTAGAATGGGTGGGTGGGTCTGGGGAATCTAGGCTGAAGAGCTCCATCCTTGCCCTCTCTGGAGCTTTAGCCTGCTCTCTTTAGGCATAGTTCTCCACACCCCGCCATCCCACTGCCCCACCCCTCCCAACAAGTGAGCGAAAATCTAAAACCAATTGCACCGTTTCCTTAATGAAGGCTGGCAGGGTTGATCTGTTTACAGGTGACAGTGGCTTGCCTTTCCCGTGTCTTCTACCAGGCCCCACTTCCACGCTTCACTTAAATGTAGGTTTCCAGTCACCACGTCACGGTTATATAAAACAAAACAAGTTTTCAAAGTTGATCCCGGGAACAGAAGGCTCCGAAAAGTACAACTTCAGCTTCCTTTGTCTGAAATAACCAAGCAACCAAGCAAAGCTCTCATCAGCCAAGTCCTGCTTAATTAACCCAAATGTCTGTTGGGCCTTGTTTGTGCTGCTAGTGCTGAGGCAACTAAGCTTTATAAACTGCAGGGTATCCCAGAAGAAACGTCTTGTCCCACAGTTCCTGAATTCAGGGTTCGTCCTTCTGTAGGCCCTGAGAAGTGAGTGTGATCCAGTCAGCTCTCCTCAGCTTGAATTTGACTATTTTCTCCCCGGGTCCCCTCACATCTCTCTCCTCCTCTGGGCATGTTATCTCTGTACCGAATTCTCTCTTTTTTATAAAGACATCAGCCACATCATGCAGAGACCCATGATAATAGTCTCATTTTGATCCAGTTACCTCTAGAAAGACCCGGTGTCCAAACAAAATCACACTCTAAGTAGCGGACATTAGGACTTCGATAGTTCATCTTGAGGAAGAACATGATACAAGTCATGCTACTTTCATCACCAAAGAGATTATGTTCTCTGTGTGTGTTTGTGTGTACAATTCAAGGAGAGACAGAGGAAGTAGGTGGGATGGAGGAGGAGCCAGAGCCTAAGAAGAATACCATTCTATAATTCCATCAGCATTCTGAGGATCAATACCCAAAAAGGAAGTAAAGTACCAGGATCTAAGTGGAAGAAGGCATCTCTGAAGAGCAAATATTGCTATCCACACTACTATTTGGTGACAAAGTTAGCTTCAGTTGTCAAACTTAACATGTCTGGGAGGAGAGAAACTCAACTGAGATATTGCCATAATCAAATTGGCATGTGGTAATATCAAATATGGAATATTTTTGATTAATTATTGATGTGAGAATGGTAAGCTCCAATTACTAAAAAAATGCCAGATATATCCAAATTCCATCATCCATTCTCTTCCTGTCATAAGTCTGTGCTTGTCTCTTTAATGTCATAAGTTTAACATAGAAAAGGAATAAGATGTTAACTTAAATGTAAATCACCAATAGCAATACTAGTAATAAAGGCAAATTAACCCAAACATTTCAAGTAATAGATAACATTTACTGAGAGCATAATAGCTGCAAAACTCTTTGCATAAATTCAGTGTTTTGTTTTAATAAAAGAAATATTTATATTATATACTAATTATCATGACTGTAACAAACAATTTATGGCTTATATGTTGATGACAGGAATCACTTATGAAGGAATTCAGTTTCATAATATTAGTTTTATTCCGGTGAAACATTTGAGAGAACATAAAATGAAAGGAAACTGATGGAAAGGACTAGCCGGGAGGAAAGGGAAGACGTAAACTCTAGTGTACCAAGGGGGTGTGAGTTTATAGGAGCTATCCAGAAGTAATCATAGCAATAGGAGGGTTATGCTTTAGAAGAAGTCAGGATTTTCTTATGATTCAATGATGTAAAATTAGAGAATGAGATAGAGAAATCTGACAACAAAATGTGGGAAGATACAGGATGGGATGCCTTGCCAAGGGGGAGCTGGTACAGGAGCAATGAATGGAAGGCTGCTTTTGTTTCCTTGTCAGTATAAGAGCATCCTAATATAAACATCCAGGGTTCATTATATAAGAGAGACAAGAACAGAAAACCCCTCCAGCCAGCAATCTCCACTGATCTTGCTGTAAAATTCAGATAAAAGTGAAAAGACAGCAAAGCATTAAAAGATGATGAGCAACACGGAGGGGGGAGAAAAAAAAAAAACAGCAGCAGCTCCAGTTTCCTTTCTGACTGATGTGGAGCAAAGGCTTAAAGGGCTGGGTGGACAGTTCTGCTCACAGGGAAGCAGCGGAAATGTGGCTCCCTTTGTGTTCTGGACTTAGCATCAGAAAAAGCTACAGAAAGTCAGCATTACATCATCCCCAGAACTCTGGGTCTCACGAAAACAAGCGGTGAGCTTGGTATACTGGTTAGGGCCTCTACTGCCAGCACCCAGGAGGTGGAGGACAGTGGACAATTTGATGTTCGAGCCTCTAGCCTGACTCCACGGTGAGACCTATAATGAGCTGAGCTAGAGAGTGAGATCCTGTTCGAAAAGAGAAGGAAACACCCTGACTCAGAATAACATGCCTGTAAAAGTTTAATAGCTAAGCAAATTAAATCATTTAAAGTCTAACTTTTCTTTAAAAAATGCTCATCCTTGCAATATAATATATTTATAAAGAGCTCCTCTCCGGTAGATGAAAAATAACCATAATTTTCCATTAGTTGCTTCTTGTACAGGGCCCCAAACTACTCGGTTACTACCGTCTGCATAAATACAAGGAAATAAAGCTCTCAAAGAGTGGTAATAAATATGCACTTTTCAAAATAATTTTCTTTTGAAATGCTTGTTTTAACCATCTTTTAATGACCTATTCTGTTAACTTAGTCTATGTTACCTTAACAGGAAATCACCGACTGATCTGTAATGTATAGAAATTTGATTTTGTTTTGTTTTGTCTTTTTACAGTTTGGGAGTCTATGAAGTCCAGAATAAGGTTTCTAGACTGTCATGTGGACCTTTTTTTTACTTTGTTCTCAGGCAGAAGAAGAGCAGAAGAAAAAGAGAGCTCCCTTCCCATCAGTCCACAGTGCGACTCCATCCTTATTACCCAAACACATCGAAAAAGATTGCGCCTTCCAACATTGCCAAGCGTGGGATCAAATTTTTCAAAATACTTTGGGAGCACACAATCAACCCATAACATTTATGCAATGCATTTCCATTCCTACCTAAACTAATCATTATGTGGATTATGATGAGATAGACTTCAGTAAGATAAATTCATGATTTTAAAATGTGGCAGTTTCATTTGTACGTAATACATGCTACAGCTTTTCTCGGGGACAGGGGATTCTCATAAATATCATCACAGCAAAGGTCCATCTGAACTTACTGCTTCCTTAGAAAATGAATGTGCAAGTGTTCCGAGGAAAGGTATTTTAGGTTGAAAGAAAGCATGTCCGTGTATATAGGATGGTGCTCACTGATAAGCGTTTAAAAAGAGTTGAAAAGAGCTTCTTTAGATAGAAAATTCTGCATCACTGTCTTCTACACCAGCAATTCATTTAAAATAGATGAAAGTGGACTGTGGAGAACACTCAGTCCTTAAAGTGGTTGCCACGCAAGCATGAGAACCTGAATTTGAATCCCCAGAACTAATAGAAAAAGCCTGACATCACAGGACCAATATAAAAAGTCTGGCACCATGGGGCATGCCTTGGAATCTCAGTGCTAAGCAGGCAGAGACAGGACAATCCTTGTGACTCATTCATCCACCAGTTCAGCTGCACAGAAAGCTCCAGGTTCCATGAAAGAATCTGTCTCAGAGAATAAGGGGAAGAAGATACATGGTATCAGTTAGTGTCCTACACACACATGAACACACCACACATAAACACACATGGAGAGAGAGAGAGAGAGAGAGAGAGAGAGAGAGAGAGAGAGAGAGAGAGAGATACAATAGATTATGATGCCTAAGGTGATTGCCCTCTACATAAGGATAAAATTATTGGCAAATATCAATAAAGTGCATTTTCGTTATTTTTGTTCTTAAATTATGAATGTTAGATAAGATGTGATTCACATAGTTTTAGTATTTTCTTGTCTTCTACTCTTATTTCGCTTACATATGTATTGCCTTATTCAATTATACATTGTTACTGATTCCCTTTCTAACATTTTCTTTAAAAGCTCCCAGCCAAGGAACATTATTGCACCTTAAAGATTATTGGAAAAGCTCTGGTTATGCCCTTTGAAAAGCATTTTTAATGCAAAAGTTTATACCAGGAGAGTCTACTGTAGCTGGTTTGCTGTAAAACCTTGAAAATCGGTGGCCTGAGTATCCTACCTTCTTATAAAATGCTCTCTAAAGGAAGTTGGATTGAGTTTAAGGTTTATGAAAATAAGGCAATACGTTAACTGAACATTCCATCTGCAACATATAGTAGGAAAAAGTGCCAGAAAAGAAATAACTTTTACTAAGAGCAAATCAACCATGTGAAATATTATCATCTATCTTTGATCAATCAATCTGTCTATGTACATGTACAAGCAGATATACACATATAATTTTATGATGCATTATGGTAAATCTACCAACTAACCATTTAAATAGTCATTTTTCCTACTTAAACAATTGTTGTCATGGTAATGAATTATTAATAATAGTAGCCATCAAAACTTTCCTAAGCATGTAAGTGAAAAATAAAATATCGAACGCATTTGATTAAATTCCATCATTAGACAATTATTTTACTAGCATGTTAGAAATGAAAA